CTGGTTTTCTGAGACAGGGACTCACTATGTAGCCCTGGGCTGACCTTGAACTGAAGAGATGTGCCTGCCCCTGCCTCTGGCTTGCACTGGCCTGGCTTTCTTTACTACTAAGCATTCTGGAAGCCAAGTAGGAAAATCATACTTCAGTATTTGTATGTGACCTAATTCCCCAAATTTCAGTATTGTGTCTATTATTACAATCTGAACGTAAAATGTCCCAATAGATTCATGTGTTTGACCACTTGGTCCCTAGATACTGGTACTGTTTTGGGAAGCTGTGGAACATTTACAGAGAGGCATGACAGGTAGAAGTGTATCACTGGGTGCAGGTCTTTGAGGTATTCTCTGGCACTGTTTCCTACCTCAACCTGTTTTCCCAAAATCCTGTGTGATTTAGCCAGTTACTTCCTGTTGCTATGGATAAGAAATGGTCCCACTTTCATGCCTTCCCCACTTGTTCACTATGAATTGTAAACCAAAATAAATCACTCAACTTCCTTAAGTCACTGTGATGAATGTAACCACATAGTGCCTCTCACTGGCCCACAGCTCTATGTGCTATCTAAATTACTGGATCTATATTCAATATCACCATCTTCTACTAGAATGAAGCATCAAACTGTTTCCTGACTTTTAAGCAAGGCTCTACTTTTTAACCCTATACCTCACCTTTCTGTTCTGTCATACATCTCTCCAGTTCTTGTGCCTTTTTCCTGTTCTGTAGCCATAGTTGGCTTGTTTATTAATAACAACTGCTTTGCAGCTTCATTCTTCATCTTTCAAACTTTGTTAACACAAGCCCATCTGGTTATTGCCTTGATTTCTTCACCCATATGGATTTAATTCTTTGTCCATATTCTCATTTTAGTTGGATTTCCAAGAGTGACAAAATAGGTTCAGTTTACTGTATTTAATTATAAGCCCTTCTAATTTTTTTTGTCTACAGAAATAAGAATATAGGACCTGTTTGTAAAAAGAGGAATAAACCACAAAATGATAATTCTGTGAAATAATAAGCAGAGGACAGGACGAACATGAAGACAATTAAGAACTCAAAGGCAAACAGGAGAAAACTAGTATAGGGAAAGAACATTAATCAATTTTATCCACGGCTCTTTTCCTTTCTTTAAAAATATTTTATTCCTTCGGATAAGACTGGGGTCTGTTCATTTTCCGAGTTCTATGCTGGGTTACTATCTGGGAATCCCTTTGGCCACCCTGGCCAACAACTCAAAAGACGGTATCGCCTGTCTGGCATTGTTGTTTGTTATGTAGCCTTTAACTATACATATGGACTCTGATAAGTCAAAGTTCCTGCTTGACCATGGTTGGCTTCACTTGGAAGCATGGAGGAAATGATTCCTTGTGTTGACCCTCCTCTTTATAGACTGGACACTGGTTCAAGTCCATCCAAAGGAATATTGACAACTGATTACTGCTAGATGAGGAACAGCTGACCCTCCTAAACCAAAGACATCTAGATAGATTCGCCAGAAGGGCAAGTAGTGGGGAATGGGTGGGGGTGCCGACAACACAGCAGACAGTAGCAGGGATATCAGAGTATAAGGGCTCTAGTTGGGGGAGGGAGGCTATGGGAGGGTACTATCTGGGAAGTGGGTGTTTAAAAAAAAAAATCTTCAAAGTATAAAAATTTGCTCCTTAATAATTAGTAGATGTGAAAAACATTGCCATTGAAATCTACCTGATGACGACTTTATATCCATGCCCAGATGCCAAGGAGCTCAGAAAGTAACTGACTGTGACTAGTAATAATCAGATATATAGAGATCAGAAACGCATGTGCATCTTAGTGTCAATTGTATTAAAAGTGAATTTTTTTGTATAAAAAAAATTATTTTTATTTTATGTGTATGCATGTATTGCCTGCCTGTAGGTAAGTGCACCCGTGTTGTGCAATGCCCGTGGAGAAGAGGCTATCAGATCCCCTGGAACTGGAGTTACAGGCAGTTGTTAGCTGCCATATGGGTGCTAGGATTCAAACCCGGCTTTTCTGCAAGAATAACCAGTGTTCCTCAAGAATAACCAGTGTTCTTAACCACTGAGCATTCTCTCCAGTCCCCAAATCTATTTATTTCTAGGTATTATTTTTTTATGTGTGTAAGTGTATTGTCTGCATGTGTGTAAGTGCACCCGTGTCATGCAATGCCAGTAGAGGTCAGAAGAGGACGTCAGATCCCCTGGAACTGGAGTTAAGACAGTTGTTAACCACCATGTAGGTGCTGGGATTTGAACCTGAGTCCTTTGTAAGTGTAGTCAGTGCTCTTAACTGCTGAGCCATCTGTCCAGGCCCTCTTTTCCTTTCTCAAAAGCAATGATCAGAGATCTGGAAGTGGTGGTGTACACCTGTAAACTGAGTCAGGAAGATAACAAAGTGAAGGCCATCAAAGTTCCAGACCATCTTAAGACTATATATATAGTGAGAACCTCTCTCTCTCTCTCTCAAAAAAAAAGTAATTTAAGACAGGATAGGGATGTACAGCTCAGTGGTAGAGCAATTCCTTACCATGTACAAGGCAGTGGGTTCAATTCTCAGTATGAAACCAACCATGAAAACAAGCAAAAAAGACCCAAAGGAAATTAAATAAAAAGAATACCCAAAATACCAATAAAAAGAAATTTAGTCCAACTATTATAAAACTCAAATTATACATTAAACTTAAGTGAGTAGCTAATGAATTTCAAACACAATGCTGACAAATCACTTCACTGAAATCAGAAGTCTTTGTAAACTTACTTGTGTGGAGTCTGTCAGATCTCTGGAAAGACTTCTTCCCCAAGCCTAGCAGAGAACTTTCCACTTTCACTGAGGAAGAAAAGCTGGAGTTTGAGTTCTGGGGACTGTTTGACTGTCCGTCAGACTGTTTTCCTTCCCATAGAGCTAGGGGAAGAAAATATATAAAATCTGGTGACACCAAATTTCATATACAAAAATCAATCAGGGCCAGGCAGGATGGCTCAGCAGGTTAAAAGTGCCTCTGCTGAGCCTGACAACCTGAGTTTGACCTTTGGGACCCATGCGGTGGTAAGAGAAAGCTGACTACCACAAATTGCCCTCTGCCCTCCATATGCATGCCATGGTGCGTGCGTGCACGCACACACACGCGCGCGCGCACACACACACACACACACACGAATGTAATAAAAAATTTAAAAAATAAGTTATTCCATAGTAAACTATAGGGAGTTATGTATGAGAAAATGTGGCCCTGTTTTGGAAAATAAAATTCTTACCTTCCTCTGCTATACTATTCATCTCTAACGGAAGATAATTTTGTTAACAAAAAAATGTGAAAGTTCTGTAAGACTTACCTTTGTAACATTCAATTGAATTATATAATGCAAAACAGAAGTCTTAGCAATTTTGTTAAAAACAAAATAGACAACAACAAAAGTAAAAAGACCTTGTAAACATGTTCAATCAAACTGAAAGGTATTACATTCTTCAGAAGTGACCATATATATATATATGTGTGTGTGTGTGTGTTTGTTTGTCTTTTTAAGACAGGGTCTTCCTACAGCTCCAGCTGACTGGCCTGGAACTCACTATGTATACCAGGACTGGCCTGAACTCTCAGCCATCCACCTGCCTCTGCCTCTTGAGTGCTGGGATTAAAGGTGTGTGCTACCACAGTCAGTGGGAAGTCACCTTATTTTAAGTGAGAGAATTGATAGTTTACTTTGTGTTCAGGTAGATGGCCGTCTGAAAAGTGATTGCTGCACAAGCATGAGGACCTGAGTTTGATCTTCAGAAACTACATAAAAAGTCAGTGGTAGAACATACTTGAAACCCCATTGCAGGGAAGATGGAGACAGGATACCTGGGGCTTCACTGTGAGCCAGCCTAGCCTAATCCATAAGTCTCAAGCCAGTTAGAGACTCTGCCTAAAACAAACAAAACATAACCACAGGTAGACAGTGTATGAAGAAGATACCTGAGGTTGTCTTTGACCACAACACACATAAACATACATACACACACACACACACACATACACACACCCCATACCCCTGCATATACACCCAAAGAATTCATTTTGATCTACTTGGAAAGAATAGATTTATAATGATAATAAACACTGGCTTCCAAATATTATATATTATTATTTCAATGTTACTCACTGATTTCCTTCTTAGGTGCAAATGTCACTGGTATACTTTAAGTGAATGATAATTTGGGGGGAGGCCCAGGGAGACACAGGGTCTCACTATACAGCTCTGGCTGGCCTGGAACTTGCTATGTAGACCAGGCTGACCCAGTAATTACAGAGTACTGGGATTTAATGCATATACCATCAAGCCCAGCCCATTTACCCTAGGATTTTTTTATACTGGTGCTGGGGTAGCAGAAAGATTATGTCAACAGATTTAGCAATTTAAAAATACATGATGCAATACATCAATTTATCAGCATAGAAATACTGAAAAAAAGGTCTGTTGGAAAAAAGAAATGGGCAAATTGCCTACCAGGTCTGGCAGGTACAGAGTTACTGGCTGCTTTGACGGTCTTGAGAGAGAGATGTTGGTTGGAGATGGACATGCTTGGTCTGCACTGTTGCTGCTGCTGCTTCTTCTGCTGTTGCTGTTTCAGAGCCTATAAAGAGAAAACTGACAATAAGTAACAAGCAAACCAGCTTTCAATAATAAGTGAATGAAATCTTTTCATCTTTAAAGTGGTGAAAAATCATTCACTTTGAATTCTGTTGAAAGTAAACAAAAACATAAACTAACTGAACGCAAGGCCTAATAATACTTTGTATTTATCTATACATCTGTATAAATAAATAACACTTCGCATATATTTTGCCAGAATTATTCTGCTATATATAAATACAAGGAACAATTATTCCTCTCTTGTGGAACTTAAAAATTACCAGTAAGCCAAAGACTTTACCACCTTCTACTCAAGAGATTTGTACACATACTTTTATCATTTCTGAAAACAGAATTCTAAGCCATGTAGTAATAAGCTCTATATGCATCAAAACTACGCAAAAGTGTAAATATTTAGATTATTTATGCTTCAGAGGTGCTACACTTGAATAAATACTTGAGTTATCTTTTGTAAGAACAATGAGACTTGTCCAAATGCCCAAGTCTTAGTAATTTACAGAATGTAAGAGGAAGGAAGACTACACAACAAAGGTCCTAATAATAGTATAGTTCTTTATGGCTATTTCAGATTATCTTTATTTCTAGGAGGTTCTTAATTGAGTAAATTTGATAATACTGTTTAGAATGAACATGGTGGTGCACACCTTTAATCCCAGCTCTTGGGAAGCAGAGGGAGGCAGATCTTTGTGAGTTCGAGGTGAGCATGGTCTACATAGTGAGTTCCAGGCCAGCAGGGGCTACAGGAGACCCTGTCTCAAATAGACAAAATGAAAAAAAGAAAAGAAAAAGAAAAAATATCAAAGAGGGTTAGTTACATGGCTCAGTGGATTAAGGTGCCTGTCTTTAAACCTGATAATCTGAGTTCTATCCCTGGGACCCACTAGGAGGAGAAAACTGACTCCTGCAAGTTGTAACACCAAAACTCAGGGAGGCTGAGATGCTCGGGACATTCTGGGCTACAATGTGGAAACCTGTCTCATAACACCAACCTAAAGGAAAAAAAAAAAAGAAGTGTGGGGTAACCTGGCTACTTCCTGCCTAACATTTATATACAACTCTGTATATGCTACAGTGGCAACAATTTATCATCTGACAGTGAAGCGATGAATGTTTAGGATACAGTTGCGTACTGTATTTATTTAATATTTTATTTATTATTTTTATTTTATGTGTATGAGTGTATTGCCTGCATGTATGTGAGTGCACCTGTGTTGTGCAGTGCCACGGAGGTCAGAAGAGGCTTTGGATTCCCCTGGAACTGGAGTTAAGGACGATTTGTAGCCGCCATGTAGGTGCTGGGAATTGAACCCAGGTCTGCTGTAAGAGCAGTCAGTGCTCTTAACCACTGAGCCATCTCTCCAGCCCCTGCATACTGTATTTATAACAGATGAGACAGAAACACAACGTGTAAAAATGACAAAGGAGTTATCACGTATTCTCTCATTCTGTAATCATCACAGGTATGTACAGGCTTCCCAAGTGGTGATTCACCTCTATTCATCCTGCTATTGTCAATCAGGTTAATACAAAACTCAACATAACTAGTGTCAGAACTACTGTTTCCCATCTATTTTTGCAGTGGTCTAAATAATTCAGGTAGCCGGGCATGGTGGCACCCTCCTTTAATCCCAGCACTCAGGAGGTAGAGGCAGGTAGATCTCTTTGATTTCTAGACCAGCCTGGTGTACAGAGGGAGTAGCAGGCCAGCTGGGACTACAGAAAAACCCTGTCTCAAAGACTCCTCTGACCACCCCCCAAAAGGGAAATTTAGACAAATAATGGAAATAGAATAATTTATATAGACTTTTAATCAAAACTGTACTTTTCTTGTTAACAGTTTATTGACTCTAAATTAGTGATTAGTAACAAAAACTCCCTCATTTGTGATAAAGGATAACTAATACAGTAATTTTCCTTATCTAGTAATGTGAAAAACAGACAATAGACACAAAGGCTTAATTTATATGCCACACTGACACTCTATAAAAGAACATGCAAGGATGCAAGAAAAGGATGACGGGAGTGTGCTATAGTGTTATCTGCTTAATAAATTACTTTTACGAACCAAGGTTTAAGGTATATATTACTATATAAATAATAAAAATACAAGTGTTACAGGGTAATAAGGCAGACAGCAACAATCAAATTACAGGCTTTCAGTAAGAAGTCTTTTAATTTAAAACTCATACAATTTAAACTTTTGTGAGTTTTACACATATGAACCACAAAAAATATATTTTTATGGGCTGGAGAGATGGCTCAGTGGCTAAGAGCACTGGCTGCTAATAAATGTCCATAGCTCCGGCTCCAGGAGAATCCAAAGCCATCTTTTGACCTCCACGGGCATTGCACAACACAAGTGCACGACACAGGTGATCTTAAATGCAGGCAATACACTCATACACAAAATTTTTTTAAAAAATTCATTTTTATTATTAATTCAAATGCAAAGCTAAATAAATTATGTTTGTACTACCATTTTAAGTCTTAATGAGCATTTTTTAAGGATAACCATGGTAAATATTTTTTCTTATTAAACTTCTTTTAAGCAGTATCATTGCTGGCATCCCACTCTCCACCAACATCCCCCCAATAAGTGTGCCAATTACAACAATACCTTGATACTTAAAACTAACCACCCTAATAAGTCACCATTCTAGGGTTTACCATTGCAATAGGATTAAATAATCTATAACTTTCTTTCTTACATCTAACTTTACTTCCTCTTCTCACAAATTCTCTTCACTTCTAGGATTTTCCCCACAAACCTTCCACCGATTCGTGCCAGCTAAAAAACTCAACATTGGTCAAAGCATAGCGTCTAACCTTCTAGACTTAATTTGACTAGAAAAAGTTTTTACCCACATTCATATTTCTCCTAAACAGAAGCAGTTTTTTGGCTATGGGCTTTTTTTTTTTTTTTTTTTTGGTATTTTTGAGACACGGTCTCCCTGTAGCCCCAGCTGGTCTGAACTCGCCACACAGATCAGGCTAGCCTCAAACTCAGAGAGATCTGCTTGCTTCTGCCTCCCAAGTGCTGGGACTAAAGGCGTGAGCCACTACACCCAGCCTTTTTGTTTTTTTATCTGAGACAGGGCACCCCTGTAGCTACAGCTGCCCTGGAACTTGCTAGTAGACCAGGTTGGTCTTGATCTCACAGAGACCGGCCTGCCTCTGGCTCTTGAGTGCTAGGATTAAAGGCCTACACCACCACACCTGGCTGGCTATGTATGTTTATAAATAGCATCACTGTCTACCTATCACAGTAAACATACTTTTTGCTATTTAGAATTTGTAAATGTGTGTGTGCATATGGAAGTCAGAGGACAATTTTAAGGAGCTGGTGCCTTTCCCTTTACTATTTGGTCCCAGGGATCAAATTCAGGTCAATTAGGCTTGGCAGAAGTCACCTTACCCAATTAGCCATTTCATCAGCTCCTAAAGTTTAAATCAATTTTTTCATGATGTATATTCATTATAAATAGAAATGTGTTACAGGAGGATGTTTTCACACAAGTTATATATTGTAGGTTAAACCTATTTCTCCCGTTTCCTCTTTTTTACCCCTCTTCACTGTTAGCCCCATCTATTCATCTAGACAGTTGGGCTCTATTTTCATGTCATAGATACATCCAAGATTTTGTGTGTCTATATACAGTCTAGGAACCAAAAATGAGAGAGAATATATTTGTTCTTCTGGGACTAGCTTAAGTGTCTATCTTCACATACATCTATTTTCCTACAAATGGCTTTGTTCTTTATAACTGGAAAAAAAAAAATGACATTGTATATATCCAGTCCTCTGTGGCTGGTTGGGTTTCTGGGTTGACTCCATAAATTAAGTCATTGTGGATGCTGATGCAATAACCAATGATGTGCAAGTATGTTTGTGATGGTAGATCTTAAAATTGACAGGATCTAGTCTACTAAGAAACAAATCTTTGGCCACATCTGTGAGAATATCGACAAGGACAGCTGAAAAGACCAACCCAAAAAATGGAATGTCCCATTTAAATAAAGGAAACAGCAAGCCAAACCAACATTCATTGCTCTCGGCTTCCTTACTATGGACACAATGGGACCAGCTGCCTCATGCCACTGACAATGTGCCTTCTTTCTACTACCATAGACCCTCAAAATGTGAGCCAAAATAAACCCTTCCTTCCTTAAGTTGTTTTTGTCAGGTCTTTTTGTCACAACAACTGGAAAAGTAACTAATACAGTAATTCAGCTGAGGTATTTGAGAAATACCACACTGATTTGCACAGTGGCTAGACTAGATGACACTCCCACCAGAGTGTACAGTTCCCTTTGGCACACATGCTCACCAGCATTTCTTGTCATCTGTCTTTTGGGGGAGGAGGTCTTTTTGAGACAGGGTCTTCCTGCAGCCCAGGATTGTCTGGAACTCGCTATGTAGACCAGGCTGGCCTTCACCTCAGAGATCTGCCTGCCTCTGCCTCCCAAAGTTCTGGGACTAAAGGGGTGTGCCATCACGTCTAGCTTCCATCTGCTTCCTTAACTGCTGCCATTTTGACTGGGGTGAGCTCCAATTCCAATGTAGTTTAAGTTAGCATTTCTCTGATGTGTAGTAATCTTGAACATTTTTTCATGATCATTGGCCATTTGTATTTCACCTTTTGAGAACTATTAGCTCGTTTATTAATTGGGTTGTTGGTTTCTTGTTTAGTTTGAATTCTTTGTATACTCTAGATAGTAATCCTGTCAGATGCATGGCTACCAAAGATTTTCTGCCATTCTGTAGGCTCTTTCTTCACTCAATTAACTGTTCACTTTCTGTGTAAAAGCTTCTTAATTTCATGAGATTCCATTTCTTGGCTACTAACATTATTTTGTGAGAAATTCAAGTACTGTTCAGAAAGTCCTTGCCTATATACAACACCTTGAACTGTTTTTCCTACTTTTTCCACTAAATGTTTCCGAGTTTCAGGTCTTACTTTTTAAGGTCTTTCCATGTAT